AGGGCTGGTGCTTCCCTGGCCCAACCTTTGAAGTCTCTGGGTCACCTACATGACACAGGAAGGCACTGGGGGAAGACTTTACAGGAGTGGACTCCAGCAAAAGGGATTTTTTAAAAAGAATTTTAAATAATTTCTGAACATCACCTTCATGTCCAGCAAGCCATGCATTACAATAATTCTTTAAAAGAAGAGTGGAATTTAGCAAAACCATGGACCACATGGACTGACTGAAGGGTTTGCAGTATTGCACATCCATGAGGACGTGTGCCTTCTCAGCTCTTCAGGGGTCAGTTTGTTTTTGTTACCGTGGTCACTGTGTCTTCCATTGTCTAGGTTCCACAAACCTCCCTCTGCTTTAGTTCAAAGAAGTCACAGATTCATAAGAGTTGGGTTAGATTTAGGAGATAGAGGGAATAATCATTTATTGTCTACTATGTGCCAGACAAGGGCAGCTAGGTGGCACAGGGGATTGAATGCCAGGCCTGGGGTCAGGAAGACTCCTCTTCCCAAGTTCAAATCTGGCCTCAGATGCTTACTAGCTGTGTGACCCTGGGAAGTCACTTAACCCTGTTTGCCTCAGTTTCTTCCTGTGTAAAATGAGCTGGAGAAGGAAATGGCAAACCACTGCAGAATCTTTGCCTTGAAAACCCCAAATAGGGTCATAAAGAGTCATACACAACTGAAAACAACTAAACAACAACAAATGTGCCAGGCACTGTGCTAAGCACTCATTTGATCCTCACAAAAACCATGAGAGGTAGGTAAAAGTAATACTCCCATTTTGCAGTTGAGGCAGACAGAAACTAAGTGACTTGCCCAGGATCTCACAGATAGGAAGTGTCTAAGGCTGGATTTGAAGTCGGGTCTTTCTGACTCCAAGCCTAGCTCGACTTCCCCATGGCTAGATAGGCTGCCCAGGCATCTCTCCAATGCCCTTTGGGTCACTTGCACGTCTCTTTTTTTTTGGGAGGGGGCCTGGCAATGGGGTTAAGTGACTTGTCCAGGGTCACACAGCTAGTGAGTGTTATGTGTCTGAGGCTGGATTTGAACTCAGGTCCTCTGGAACCCAGGGCTGATGCTCTATCCACCGTGCCACCTAGCTGCCCCCACTTCTCTTTAATAAGATCCATAGCTACTCAAAAGAATTTGCACTGCGGGCAGCTAGGTGGCGCAGTATATAGAGCACCGGCCCTGAAGACAGGAGGACCCGACTTCAAATCCGGCTTTAGACCAAACACTTGACACTTACTAGCTGTGTGACCCTGGGCAAGTCACTTAACCTCAATTGCCTAAAAAGTAAAAAAAAAAAAAAAAGAATTTATCTTAACTGTGCACACAGGAAACCCCCCCCCCCAGGAGAAATGGAGAATGGGCATTGTCCAGACTCTGACGGGAAGTGGGATCTTGGCCAGGCTCCCTGGATGAACCAGGCCACGTGCCCAGGACTGAACGACTCCTTTCAGTCTGGGTCCGTCTGCTCTATATTCTCAGTTCTTAGTGCAGTGGCTGGTGCACGGTAAGTCCCAAGGAAGCTTGTTGACTGAAAGAGGGAGAGACAGTAGGCTGTATTGCCTTTGGAGAAACTGTGATCCTAAGCTGTTCCTGCAGAAAACTCCCGACTTTCAAAGTCCGTGTTCTCCCCAGCAATGGTGGGATGACTGTGAACCTTGGCGCCTCACAGCCACTGGAGGATTCAGACTTTGCGATTCCTCCATGACTAGCTCCACAAATTTAGCCCTCTGGAAGCCGTCTGTTTCCTCTCAGATACTTTACCTTCCAATAAGTTAGTGATACTGCCTTGGTTATTTGATCCATGGTCTAAACCAGTGGGGTCAAACTCTATAAATAGAAACAGGGGCTACTAAACCACCAGCCGCAAGGATGACTTAGAAAAGCACAGATTAACATCATCTGCATTCTGTTGTATTTTTATTTATTTTGTTAAATATTTCCCAATTACATTTTAATCTGGTCCGAACAACAAAGTTTATGATTCAGTGAGGAATCCAGATTGGAGTTACAAACTTTGCATTTAGGAAAAAATCCCAAATAAAACTTTGAAAATAGCTAATGACCTTAACCAATGTGGGGAGCCAGGTGGCAAAGTGGAGAGAATGCTAGATTTGGAATCGGGAAGACCTGAGTTCAAATTCTGTCTCTGATGTCAACTAGCTGTGCGATAACTGGTCAGTTCACTGAACCTGAATCCACCTCATTTTCCTCACCTGTAAAACTGGCGAAGTAATAGCACTTGCTTTGCTCTGTGTAAGAATCATATATGTGTGTATATGTATGTGTGTATAATATGTATATGTATAAAGTGTTTTGTGAACCTGGAAGTTGTTATCCTCATTATTACTGCATAAGGGGACTGAGGAGTGTGTGCATTTGATCCAATTTCCACTCCTGTGTCTGAAAAGACATTATTTGTCATGGAAGGGTCTATGGATTTGGAGCCCATGGAAACATTCTGTAACTGATTCTGGTCCCTAATCCTATGTTGAGGAGGAGTCCTTAGGCTGGCTGGGGAGCTGGTACTGGGGTGCATTCCTAGGGCACCCACCAGCCAAGGCAGCTCTCTTCAAGAGCCCATGCTGTCCTACCCTGCAGGGTGGGGAGGAGCCTCAGGGTGGACAGGTTAATGTTTAACGACCAGCCGGGCCAAAATGTGCCCCCGGGACACACATTTCTGTCGAACATGCGTCATTACCGCATTCTGTTCACTTTCTCAGACCAATAAACCGAGCTTGGGTTGTAGCATTTGCAGATTGCTGAAGAATAAATACTCACACTGGACATTTCCCAATTGGCTCTGCCTCTTGCGGCTCCTAGGAACCGGCTCCACACATTAACAGATAAAACCACAGGCTCACAGCACCCCCTCCCCAAACCCCCAGTTTATGATAAGAAGAGCTCACACTTAGGAGGCTTACAAAATGTCAGTGGTGAGAGGCCAGGAATGAGCAGTAAAAACATTCCAGTAACCTGGGCCTGCAGGTATCGAATTGGCCTTAGAGTCAGAAAGACCTGAATTCAAATCCCACCTATGATTCCTACTGGCTTGCTTGACCCTGGGCAAGTAACCACCTCAAAAAGGCCCCAGGCCACTGCCTGGTAAGGTAAGCTCCTTCCCTGGGCCTCCCTACAAGGAGCAGCCACAGGTCTGCTCCAAAACGTGAAGAAAACTAACAATTCTAAGAAAATTGAACACCATGGAACTCTAAGAATACCAAAAAAATGAATATTGTCAGTTCCACTACATTAAGATAATGAGAATCTGTAGCCTGTATGAGTACCCAATACTGGGAGATGTTTTACAAAGAGAGATCCAAGTTTTCCCTTGGATAAAAGAGAAAAAAAAAACACATTAACTTTCTCTCATTTTTCAAAAGCGACTTTCTCAAAAATGACTTGAGGTAGCTCGGTGGAGCAGGGGTTAGAGCCTGTCGTCTGGAACACTTGAATTCAAATGTAGGCAAGTCACTGACCCTTTTTCGGCCTCCCTTTCCTCAACTATAAAATGGGGATAAGGACAGCACCTGTTTTTCAGGGAGATAGTATTTGTAAAAAGTGCCTAGCACAGTGCCTGGCACGTCACAGGCACTTAATACTCATCCCCTTCCTTTGACACAAACTTTGTGCAAATGTTGCCAATTATTACTGATTGGGGACATTGTCTCATTTTGAGGCTTTAAAAAAAGTGCCATCTTGTCCTCGGTGATGCTTGATGAGGAAATATTCATTTTCTGTAAAAAAAAAAATGTTTTTAGTAGGGGCAGCCTTGTTTACTCCATGGCTCCAGCGTTCATTGGATCTGGACATGTCCCCAGAGTTTTCTTGCTAGGACCTGGGCAGAGAAGGGAAGGATTGTTCTGTCTCAGGGCTCTCTTAAACTGGGCCGGTGAAACCTGGCTCTACCTCCGGGACCGGGGCTAAACGGAGCCGGTCTGGGGAGGCAGAGGCACGTGGCTGAGCTTGGATTTCAGGCTCTAAAAATACCCCGGTGAGCACCTCCAGGCCAGGCCTCGTCCCCGGCCAGCTGCCCAGGGCCCGGGTGGCCAGGAGGTGGCCAGCCTCGGGGGCCAGCGTTCAGGCTCCATCCTTCCTCCGCCCCATGGGCCCCCCCCAGCCGGACGGCCCCCCCCCCCTGGGCCCCCCCAAGCCGGACGGCCTCCCCTCCATGGGCCCCCCCCAAGCCGGACGGCCTCCCCTCCGGCCCCGGCAGCCCCCGATGAAGAGCCACTTGCCCCCCTGAGCCCCCAGGCACCTTTCATGCCCACGTGCTAAGTGAGTCCTGGGCGGCCAAGGCGGCCGCTGCCTTGACCCGGCCCGGGCGGGCCTTCCAGACCCCCGACTCGCCCTCTGAAGCCAGGCTGAGATTGCAGAAGAGTCCGGGGGCCTCATGGGGGGACCGAGTGCGAGCTCCATCACTGACCAGAGAGGTCACCTCGACCGAGGGACCTCTCCCTGAGCCTCCGTGGGCTCCTTGGCCGAGGTTATCTAGGACAGGGCCTGGCGTAGAGGCCGGGGTTCAACGCCCGCCTGGGTGACCCTGGGCTGGTCACTTTCGTCTGCCTGCCTCAGTTTCCTCCTCTGTAAAACGAGGATAATAGTCCCTTCCTCAAAGTGTTGTGGGGAGCAATTGAGGTCGTGACCGTGAGAAGCGCTTCGCACAGCGCCCCCCACACAGTAAGCGGGGTAAGAACGTGAGCTGTTGTTATTGTTATTATCTGGCCCAACGGACTCGGAGGATCCCGCGAGGCCCCCTGGAGCGCTCAGCACGCGGCCGCTCCGTGGGAGGCCGCCACGCGCCCCGGCCCCGCCCCGCCGCGGTTTGTGTTGCCCGCGTTGCCATGGCGGCGGGGGCGGGGCTCGCGCCGCGGCGCCCAATCGGGAGCCGCGGCCTGTGTCTCTCGCGCGCGCGCGGCCCCGCCGCCTGCCCCCGCGGTGCCCTGGCCGGAGGGAGGCCGGGCGCCTCAGTCCCGGCCGGGAGGAGGCGAGCTGCGGGTCCGCTGCCGCGGGTCCAGCGAGGTTCCAGTCTGCCTGCGTCCCCCCGCGCCCAGGGAGCCACGCCACGATGTTCGGCTCGTCGTGGAGCAGCTTCGAGGAAGACCCCTTCTTCTCGTGAGTGGGGGAGGGGCGTGCCTCGGTTTAGCGCCTGTCCCAGGACGGGCTTGGTCCGGGCCGCGGGTGGGGGGGGGGGTCTTGTCGCCCTGATCCGTCCCGAGTGACCCCGCTTGGCGCCAAGGTCACGGCCCGGGGTGGGGGGGCTTCAGGAAATTCTCCTTTTCGAAGTCCCGGACCCTCCCCCCGACCGGAACCAGTTATTGGAGCGCTTATTAAGCGCCGGGTGTTTGCTCCAAAGTTGGGAAGGAGCCCAGCCTCAGTTTCCCCGGGAGGAGGATCTAAGGCCAGATTTGAATTCGAAGCTCCCTGAACCCCCCCCTCTCCGAGGGCCGGCCAGCGCCCAGAGGCCGAAGCTGCTGGACAGTCGTTGTTCCTTAATGTCCCCGCCGCCCCCCAGCTTTGAGAGCCCGTGGCCCAGCCGAATCCGCACCCCGGGCCGCTGTTAGCCTCTCGGGCGGGCAGGCGAGTGCTTGTCACCAAGCACTTATTAAGCGTCCTCTGGGAGACTGGCGCCGAGCCGAGGGAGCTCCAGGATGAGAGCCCCTGCCCCTGGGGGCAGCCGGCTGAATGGGGGACCACCCGGAAAGCCCCGCTGACCAAGGCTGGTGAACAGGACACCGGGAGGGCCAGTGTGCCCCACCCCTCCCCCAGCCGCCCCAGGGGTCACTCAGAGGCCAGGCTTGGCTTATGGCCAGGATGAGCCCGGCCCCCTCCCCAGCCTCCCCTCAGACCCCATGCTCTTGGGACCCCGGCCCATGGTCATGCTCAGGACCTGGGAATCCCCTTTAAGAGTTTTGGGTCAGTAGGGGATCTTAGGGACCAGACAAGTTTATTTTTGTGCCGTTATCAGAATGGGCCGAAGGGTTCCCAGAATAGGTCGTCGTGGCATGGGACGCTTTTAGAGCTCTTGGGTTGGCTGTCCGCCCAAGATATCTTTATTTGGGCCGTGTTTGTTTTTTAAGGGCCTTCGGTGACTTCTGACAGGTGCTGAAAAGCAGGACAAAACTGATCATCTGGGTCATTAAAGAAGTCACTGCATAGAGGTGGTGACCTCAGCACGATGGGGGTCAGGGGGCTTGACCAGGCATTTCAAGCTAAGCTCTTGATCACCTCCGGGCCGGGGTGCCCACCACACACAGACCTGGCCTTTGGGAGCAGTGCCCACTCTCAGTGACCCAGCCGAAGCGGCATTAGAACTCGGGCCTGGCTGCCAACAGTCAGCGACAAGGAGCAGCCGAGGGTGGTCTTCACCTTCTCAAGGGCTTGCTGGGTCGTGGGTTGTTCATCTTTTCTCTCATATGCACCATCGTTAACGTCGGAGGTAACTCTTCACAGGCAGACAGAACTAGGGTAACATTTAAAACCATACAAATGAGTCTCAGAAAATCACCACAATTATTGCTGTCAATCCACAATTAATGATAATTACGCAGAGTATATGCTTTGTGCTACTATATATTGGGAGTAACCTTTTAGGCTACTATTTGATCTCCCTTAAATAGGAAGCTGTTTCAAACTTACAGAATATGTGAATTGCCACAAATTTAGGTGGCTTCCAATTTTGAAAATCCATTATTCTGTGAGAAGAATCACATATGGAGGGAGGGAAGGCAGTTCATTCACGTCACTGCCAATTGCATAACACAGTATTCTCACTGCTGTTGAAGGGGGAGTATTCAGCTCTAATCTCCCAACTGACCGGCTATGTTAAGGCTATGGGGAAGGTCTGAAAATTGACTGAATGTCTGAGGGGAGTTAAGCAGGCTCAGCAAATGGACCTTTGATAGGCTAAGATGAATGGATACTCCAGTATAATCTATCAGTCAGAGCTGGTTATTTAATTAAACCCCATTTGCCAAGAAAACAAAATATTTTGAGTCATGTATTTTGTGCTTCTTCCTATGTTGTCAACAGCAATATAGTAAATTGTTTAGGGTTTTTTTATAGCATGAAAGAGACCTGGAAAGAAATTATAATAAGTGATGGCGGAAAAAAAAAAAACAACTTCCCAAATAAGTGAAAGATTACCTTGCATTTGATACTTTGATAAATTGTTTTACAAAGTCAGAAATAATCAGATATCCCAGAACCCCAGAATTTGAGAATCAGAAGGAGCCTTGGTGCCTGTTTAGTCCAGCCAAGGTTCCACAAAAGGTAATCTTCCCGCTGCTGTACCAGACCGAAACGGTCCTCCATTCTCTGTGCTTTCCGAAAACCTGCAAGGAGGAAGCTGGAAATTTCAGGCAGGCAAAAATCTTAGGTAAAGTGCTATCAGGGATGCTCCTCATAAGACAGAGCAGTAACTGTGTGAATTAGATTATATTGCCAGTTTTTAGTAATGCAGACTAGGTTACTTTATTTTTATTTTCTGACTTCTGAGTACCACTTTTGTAAAGCCCAATAATAAAGTCATCTGCTGGCTAATGTTTCATCAATGATTGCTTATTCAGTGAGTGAACATTTTAAAAGATTTTTCTGTCTCAGGCCTAATTTGTTTGTATATGTAGGGTACAGTTTTTTCCTAATGGATACTTCTTACTTCATGTATCAAAAGTTAATTGAGAAGAGGACTTAATACAAATTTGTCTTAGAATTATAGACGTTGTTGAAACTCATTAATAGATATGAGAGTATTTTGACTGAAACCATAAACACTAAAATGTTGGTTCTTAATGGTGTGCAGTTACTTTCTTTTTTGAAGACAAGTCACTTGGCTGTTTTTCAAGAAATGCTCCGTTCACAGGTAGAGAGAGTGAAAAATGATGGCTAACCTTTCAAAGAAGATATTTTTTAGAAGAAATATTAATCAGCTTAATCTACTTTTGGTATCTGCCTCAAAGGAAAAAGGTTTATAAAGGACCTTATGCTTTTGAAGGCACTAGATGGTATTGCTGCCACACATATGAGCGACTTTAGGATGGGCAGAAAAGAGGTGCCCCAGGAACAGGAGCCATGAGCCTGCTGAATGGTACAGAGGCCGGGCTGCAGAGGTGACCTGATGCTCCCTCCGACTGGGGTTCACGTAGTAGAGATGAAAGACTCAGGAACAGGAACTTGGCAAGTCTCGTGGAAGCTTGTGTTTGCAACCACACATCACAGTCTTTAGCAGGCTGGGGAGATACAGATGTTACAGGGTTCTGCTTTGACCTTTTCAGTAGCTGTTTGAATTAAGACGGAGAGTACTCCGCAAGGAAGGCTGGCACTGATTCTAACATGGGAGGAGCATTGATGGTAAGACTCATGGATGTTGCATTGTAAGAGTGGAGAACGTGAAAAGAAAATTATCTTGTTAGATAAATTAACAGAGACCTTAATTAGCTGCTTGCTGCTGTCTCTAGAGTTCTCAGACATCTGTCTAGATGTACGTCCATCTGTACATACATGTACGTAAATTTTTAGTGTTGAGAGTATGTGCATTGCTTGTGAGGAAATGTTCTGTCACTTTCCTCATGCTCTGTGGTGAAGGTAGCTTGAGTAGGTCTGGGAAATCCATATTGTATATAAAATAATTTCTCTTTTAGAAAAAGCTACTTGTTTCTAATAGGACAGCTAGGTAGGCACAGTAGATAGAGTGCTGGGCCTGGAGTGAGACTTATCTTCCTGAGTTCAGATCTGTCCCCAGACACTTACTAGGTGCGTGACCCTGGGCAAGTCACTTCACCCTGTTTGCCTCAGTTTCCTCATCTGGAAAATGAGATGGAAGAGTAAATGGCAAACATCTCCAGTATCTTTGCCAAGAAAACCTGAGTTGAGATCACAAAGAGTCAGACACTACTAAAATGACTGAACAATGAACTTTTTTCTATCTAAAATATAAACTTATATTCTATATGTTATATATATATTTGATATATTTTGATATTTGGCATGTGTGTATATGTAAATAAAATGAAATACTTGTAAAGCCCTTACTTAGCACGATGTTTGGCACATAGTAGTTTTATTCCCTCCCACCCCTCCTATATTAGTTTTATTTCCATACTCATTCAGAACAACCTGGAGAAAATGAGGTCCGTTTCCAGATATTACATATACTGACTTTAAAAAGATTCTTTAAAGTGGGGTAGTCGATGGCATGGGCCAGCTCATTTGGAAAAGGCCCTTCAGGTGCTCCTTAGAGCACTGTTAGCATTGTTTTCCCAAGCATTTCTGAGGTACTGTAAGAAGTCTAACAGAGAAAACTCAGGGTCCTATGCTGACACTAACCATCTTATGGATGGGGAGGTTCACACTGGTTATTTGTCAGGGAGCCATTTGGGCAAGAAGAGAAATGTATTCATTGTTTGCAGCCTTCTTCCCTCCCTCGGCCCTCCGTGCTTAAATGTAATACGAGACAATTGGGGCATCACATGCCACACTGAATGAGGCATGGTTGTGGTGATTTTGTAGCCACAGGAATCACACTTCTTGAATGGCATAAGAAGCAAGTGAGTAGTGTCCACTTGGAGTGGTGAATTTTTAAGAAGAAAATATAAGTGGGCCTAATAGTACAAGTCACCTCTTATCACTTCTCATGTGAGGAAAGATCTCAGATTAGATTAATTTCCAAAAACTAAAAATAGCCTCTCCCACCGCCAAGAGTGTCTTGGCTTCCATGAAATAGGATTAATGTTTGGAATAAGAGAAGCATCATAAGAGTCTCTTTCTCCCAGCAGCTGTTCTGGGGAGTCACTTGTTGAACTCCCTCCAGGGCCCCAATGAGTATCTTCCTGAATGCTTCAGACAGATCCTGAAGCCAGACTTTTTGTGCCCAATGTTTGTTGTTTTCCAGCAAGCAGTCTGGGTTAGTGTGGGGTGTGTGCTCGTGCACACACTCAAGTACACACAGATTTGGTGTCTGCTGTGTGTGCAAAATAAGCAGACAGCCCTCATGCCATTTACATATTTGACTGGAAAGCAGGTAAAAATGAGTGATTTTTTTTTCCTGTCCTAAAGTTGAATTGAAAATAATTTCAAATTATGTGGTTTTTCTATTTTAAAAAAAATCACCCTTTGAG